TCGGGAAGTTGTTGCAGAAGAGGAGGATCATGAATTCAAGACCAGTCTGGGTGACATAGTGAAACCGTATCAAAAACATAAAAATGTACAAAAGTAACCCTGTCAGATAAATTAGGGGCACACGTTCGGTTTGCTAAAGACTTGCTGGCACACGTTCTGGCTCCCCGCGGTGGGTGCCAGCCTGGCCCTCCGTGGCTCCTCGCTGTACCCTGAGGGTGGTTCTCGTCACCCTCTGCTCCAGGCCCAGCCCGAGGCTCTTGCGGCTCCTTTCCTGGGCGTTGTACGTCCAGTGCAGGGAAATCAAGGGAAGTTAAGAGTTCAGAAGATGGTGACAGATTCCTCCACACCATCCGCACAGCAGTGTTACGCCCATCCCCCCAGAGACCCGCTGCACGTATCTGCCCTGCACCTCAGCTGGGTGACACATGGTGGCATGTCCCAGCTGCTGCATCTGGAGATCTACTTCAAGAACCAAATAAACAGCAAGTGAGTGAGGACCGAGACGCCGGAGGGACCTCAGCCTTCCCTTTCCACCTGTTACCGGAAGGTGGACGCGGCCTTGGTGAGACTCCAGAGGATTCAGAAGATAACTATCAGCCGGTACTGGTGGCTCACGCCTGTCATCCCAGCTACTCAGGAGGCTGAGATCTGAGGATCAGCCAGCCCAGGCAGGAACGTCCAAGAGACTCTTATCTCCAGTGAACCACCAGAAAATTGGAAGTGGTGCTGAGGCTCAACATGGTAGAGCGCTCGCCTTGAGCTGAAGAGCTCAGGGACGGCGCCCAGGCCCAGAGTTCAGGCCCCACGACCAAAAAAAAGACCAGGTAGCTCCAGGTGTCTCCTCTCCAGCAGGTCTGGAGTGGGGACAGGGCAGAAAGAACAAGTCTGCAGGGAACCCCACCCCCACCCCGAAACAGCCAGAATGCCAGGCACCACATGACAGACGCCGAAAGATAATTCCTAATTAAAGAAGAAAAATGTTATAAGAAAGTGAATGCTTCCCAGGGAGAGACGGCCAGGAAACGCAGGCAACGTCTCATCTATTTTTAACACGGTGCACAGCTGCTGTCACAGTAAGTCAGCCTCGTGAATTATTTAATCCCCGGCAGGGCCGATGTGGAGAGCCGTCTGGGAGGCTGGGAGACAGCGGGGCTCCCACGGTCCTGCCCCTGCCGGCCCTGACACTCACTGTGCCCCCACCCGCACCCGAGGCGCACTTCCTCCCCCAATGCCCTGCCACGCCATCCCCCACCCACCCCGCCACACAGGCCAGCCTGCAGCGCACACCTGCCATCTTGTAAATGTGGAAATGATGGTGCAAAGCTAAGAACCAGGGATGCCTCACACCCTGACGGCTGAGGGAAAGACTGGGCACCTCCCTAACCAAGTGGCTGGTGCCTGAGACCAGAGGCCAGACATGACTCATGAGGATGCACGCATGTGCACACACACACACACACTCAGTGTGCTCTGTGATAGAGCCCAGGACCTGACTCAAGAGGATGCACGCATGTGCACACGCACACACATACACACACACACACATACACACATACACACTCAGTGTGCTCTGTGATAGAGCCCAGGACCTGACTCATGAGGATGCACGCATGTGCACACGCACACACACACACACACATACACACTCAGTGTGCTCTGTGATAGAGCCCAGGACCTGGCTCAAGGTGTGCACACACACACACACACACACACACACACACACACACATCTGGAGTATAAGGTAGCACCGGTGAGGATGGCTGCAGCAGTGTGGATTGAAGGGTTAGGCTGCGAGTGGACGCTTGTTTAGACGACAAGTGGGAGCGAGAGTCCGCCCACCCAGGCCAGTCAGGATAGGACGGGGCGGGAGAGGACGCTGCTCACCAGGCCCCTCTCAGGAGAACCACAGGGGTCCCGTGGCCACATCTGAGGCTCTGACCAGCACCGGCTGGGGGACATCATGCTGGGTTCTAAGCACCCAGAGGCGGGCACCTGTCCTCTTACCTCTACCCATGTACACAGCTCATTCACCCCAGAGACAGCAAGAGGCCGAACAAACACGTACGAGGGCAGCGTGTCATTCCTGGAGGTGACCGCAACCAGCCTTTGTGAGACCACACATGCACACAGCGCTGCCTCAGAAGACACCCTCCTCCCGTGCCACACACAGACGCGGACGGGAGACAGCCACACAGACCCCTCCCCAGCGAGCAACACCACCCCACGATGGCTGACACACACAGGCCACACCCGGCGCCACACCATGATGGCTGACACACACACAATCCCCACCAAGCAACACCACACCACGATGGCTGACACACACACAATCCCCACCAAGCAAACACCACCCCACGATGGCTGACACACACACAACCCCCACCAAGCAACACTACCCACGATGGCTGACACACACAGGCCACACCCAACACCACCCCACGATGGCTGACACACACACAGTCCACACCCGGCACCACACCACGATGACTGACACACACACAACACACACAACACCACACCAAGATGGCTGACACACACACAACACACACAACACCACACCAAGATGGCTGACACACACACACAGTCCACACCCAACACCACCCCAAGATGGCTGACACACACACAGGCCACACCCAACACCACACCACGATGGCTGACACACACACACAGTCCACACCCAGCACCACACCAAGATGGCTGACACATACACAGTCCACATCCAGTGCCACACCAAGATGGCTGACACACACAACACACCCAACACCACCCCAAGATGGCTGACACACAGGCCACACCCAACACCACCCCAAGATGGCTGACACACACACAACACCCAACACCACCCCAAGATGGCTGACACACACAACACACCCAACACCACCCCAAGATGGCTGACACACAGGCCACACCCAACACCACCCCAAGATGGCTGACACACACACAACACCCAACACCACCCCAAGATGGCTGACACACACAACACACCCAACACCACCCCAAGATGGCTGACACACACACAGGCCACACCCAACACCACCCCAAGATGGCTGACACACACAACACACCCAACACCACACCAAGATGGCTGACACACACACAGGCCACACCCAGCGCCACACCAAGATGGCTGACACACAACACACCCAACACCACACCAAGATGACTGACACACACAGGCCACACCCAACACCACCCCAAGATGGCTGACACACACAACACACCCAACGCCACACCAAGATGGCTGACACACATACAGTCCACACTCAGCACCACCCCAAGATGGCTGACACACACAGGCCACACCCAACACCACACCAAGATGGCTGACACACACACAGGCCACACCCAACACCACATCAAGATGGCTGACACACAACACATCCAACACCACACCACGATGGCTGACATACACACAGGCCACACCCAACACCACCCCAAGATGGCTGACACACACACAGGCTACACCCAACACCACACCAAGATGGCTGACACACACAGGCCACACCCAACACCACACCATGATGGCTGACACACACACAGGCCACACCCAACACCACACCAAGATGGCTGACACACACAGGCCACACCCATGCCCAGCCCTGTGCAGAGGGCTCCGTGTAGACGGCCTCTCGCCACGCCTGCGGAGTGGATGTGGTAGGAGTGGCTGCTGTCCCCGGGCGGGGAAGGCAGGTGCCCTCCTGGCACTGACGGCTTCCGCGGGCGCCCAGCTGCGGCCTGAGGAATGTGAGCCCGGCCCGCACTTCAGAAGCAGCAACACCAGTGCCAGGCCCCGGCGGGACACTGGCGGGCACCAGGCCGGGCTCTGTACTCAGAGGGAAGGGCACAGAGGGCTGGAGCAGAGGCTGGCTGGGGCAGGATGGCGTGTGAAGGCTGCGGCCGGGGCAGGGGGACGCCGGGGCGGGGAGACGGCCCACAGACCACACTGTTCCTCTCCATCTACCGGGGCCCTGAGCATGTTCCTTGCAGAGGGAAGAAGACGGGATGTGGGCTGAGGAGCCTGCCCTGGGCATCTGCGGGTCACACAGCCAACAAAACCCGGCATGTCTGGGGCTGTGTTTGGAACCCTTCCTTTCATTCACTATTATTACTATATCAGATTCACACCTTCCCATCTAAACCACCTTCCAGAAAGGAGAATTCAGTGCTAAACAATCAATACTTTTATTGAGCCTCTACTCATTATTGCTGGGTCCATGTAAAAATTCAGGGTTTGTCAGCGAAGACCACGGAGATAGAGCGCACAAAGCTTACATCCCAGTCCACTGGAGCATAAACAAGAAACAAAATAGCAAAATAGCTAAGTTGTCATATATAAATCTTCCAGGCTTTGTTCAAAATTGTTGAGTGCAATTAGAAACATAGAAGGCCATGGGACTCGGGGGTGGGTGAGCTGAGCAACAAGAAATTCACATGTGACTAAAAGGACTAGGAAAGGAGTGAGCCCGGGGAATGGCAGGATAGGGAATTCCTGGCTGAGGTGCCAGCCAGTGCAAAGGCCCTGTGGTAGATGTTCAAGAAAAAGCATGGTGACTGCTACGGCTAGGACGGCAAGGCCCTGTGAAGGAGACTGAGACAGGATGTCAGTGAAGACAGGGCTTTTGATGAGGATGGGAAGTGTGGAAAGGCTCAGCGTGGAGGCGGGCAATGCCCATCTCATCTTACTCTGTGTTACTGTTACACCAAGTTACCTGAGTCAGGGAAATTTACAAAGGGAAGAACTGGGTTCAGGTTCTGGGAATTCCAAGAGCCTGATGCTTGGTGTGGTGCTAGCCCAGGGTAGAAGGTCAAAGATCAGAGTGGAGAGTCAGACTCACTTTTTGGGGGTTTAGTCGTGGGGCTTGAACTCTGGGCCTGGGTGCTGTCCCTCAGCTCTTCAACTCAAGGTGAGCGTTCTACCACTTGAGCCACAGCACCACTTCCAGTTTTCTAGTGATTAATTGGAGATAAGAGTCTCAAGGACTTTCCTGCCCGGGCTGGCTTTGAACCGTGATCCTCAGATCTCAGCCTCCTGAGTAGCTAGGATGACATGCGTGAGCCACTGGTGCCCAGCTCAGACTGGCTTTTATAGCAACCCACTCTAGTGTTACCTCCTGCTGTGATACCATTAGAGAACAGAGCTCCACCACCTCCCGACCTCTCACCACCCCACCTCCCAGCACCCCTGCACTGCCATCTGGGGGGGGCACCCTCAGCTCCGGCTGTGAGGGCAGGGCGTGGGGGAAGGGGCGGCAGCTGGCTGTGTGCTGGGAAAGGCTGCGGGTGGGCGGGGCGGTGGGTGGGGTGGGCGGGGCCACGGGGAAGGTGGGCCAGGAGATCAGATGACCTAGGCCTCTGGTTCAAAGCCAAGGCGCTGGCCAGGGGCTCCAGCTTTCCTCCCCTCCATCTGGAGAGGCAGGCACAGAGCAGGGGCTCGGAGGGGGTTCTGGAAGTACGTCTGGAGCAGCCCCCCCTCAGCTGCTTGAGCGGGGCGGGGGGAGGGAGGAAGAGGGGGAGACCTGGGTGTGACTCTGTGGCTTGCATCCTGCATCTGCTACATTCCCACGGAGTCACCTCAGGGTGTCTGTTCTTCCTCCTGACCCGTCTTGCTGGTAACTGTAAACCACAGGTGTCGGCACGCATGCACGCACGCACGCATCCACACCTACGGAGGGAGCCACCGGGAACGTGTCACTGAGGTAGAACGCAGAGAGCCCTGCCAGGGCCAGGCCGGTGGTGTTTGGTCACAAAATGGCCTGTTGCAGATGGCTGGGAGTAAAGCTCCCGGGACCTAGCCGGTGTCACTGCCAGCACGCCCCTCAACTGGGGACCCACACCGCACCCCGCAGGAGATTGTGCTGTGCAGCCTTGGGCCAGCCCCCGGGCCTCTCTGGGTTCCACGTCCATCCTACCCCAGAGAAGACCGGGCTGTGCCGACAGCAGGTCCCTTCCAGTCCCGGATCACGGAAACATGTTCCCTAAAGAACACAACACTGCTTGTCTGGAGAAATACTATGGCAGGCACCGTGCCCTGCAGGGAGAGGTGGGGAAAAATGTCCTCATCTGTCCCCAAGGCCAAGGGCTGGGGACCAGGGATACACTCGCTCCCCCACCCCCCAACGCAGCCGGACAGCCGAGCCCAGGCCCAGGCCTCCGGCCAGACAGACGCCATCCACGACGCATCGGGGCGGCCAGCTGCTGGACTGAGCTGGGCAGGGCTGCTCCAAGCTCAGGGTTCCAGAACCCACTTCTTCCAGCTGAGCCCTCTGAGTAGGGTGCTGTGTGTGCGTGGCCACGCACCGGCGTGCACGCGCACACACGGGAAGAGCCGTGCAGAGCGGACGCCGGGCCTCCTCCGCAGCTGAGCGCTGTCCCCGCAGCGGTTCCTGCGTTCCCGCGAGAGCTGGGCCCACGCCACTGTCCCTCCCAGCCCGGAGACAGGAGAGAGAGAGGGGAGAGCTGTGCTTCGGGGTTCCGGGCGGACAGGCCTCTGCGTCTCACGCAGACACCGCGGCCAGGCACCAGCCCTGGCCAAAGAGCCTCTAGTCTTCACCCAGCCCCGCAAAAGAGGTTCATGCAGACATCTGGGGGAGAAAATGACAGGTGAGACGCAAAACCACAGCGCTGGGCTGTTTCTTGGCCGCGTCACAAATCAGTGCTGCTGAGCTGCCTTGGGCTGGAGCCAGAGACACAGGGAGACCGAGGTCGGGCTGCCATCCACGCTGTGTCCTGAGTCCTGAGCCCAGACCAGGCCTGCAACCGTGCTGCGTCCCTGGGTCCCGACCGAGGCCAGGCCCGCGTCCGTGCTGTGTGTTCTGGGATCCTGGGCAGCTGGACTCGTGTGCACCACACTGTGCCCTGCTGCGCTTGGGGCTGACCTTACACACCAGAAGTGCCCCACGGAAGAGGTCTGCAGCCAGTCAAAGACAAGTCACCAGCCAGACCCTGAGATGCAGACTGCTGTCCCGGGCGGGGCGGGGGGGGGCGCGAAGGGGAAACAGCCAGAGGAGGGGAAGGGGCCTCCTCTGGTTTGCGCAGAGGACAGCAGAGGAAGTCTGGGGGCACAGCAGGCTCCCTCAGGCCGCCGTCTGACAGTCCTCCTCCCGGGCGCCCTCCAGGGCTTGCCAGTAGGCCAGCAGCTCCTGGGGCGTGACGAAGTGGCAGGCCACGATGGTGCGGAAGCGGCAGGCGGAGAAGCGCAGCCCCTCGGGGAAGAAGGTCTGCCGGGAGTGCAGCTCCTGCGGCCGAATCTTCAGCTTGGCCAGGCACAGCCCCACGAAGACATCCTCCAGCTTGATGAAGGGCACGCTCTCCGAGACGTTGTACACCTGGCTGGCCACGTCGCTGGACAGCACGTAGCCGGTGCCCGAGCAGAAGGGCGGGTATTTATCCCAGGGGTACTCGTACTTGCTCACAAACCACTTATTGAACCTGTTCCTGATGGGGAACTCGTTCAGCTTCAAGTAGCCAGTGAAGAACCCGGTGGTCCTGTTCTTCTTCAGCAGCAACTCGGTCAGATAGTGGACGTTGACGAACATGTCCGAGTCCGTTTTCATCACAAAGTCAGCCTGCAGGCAGAAGTGGTGGACCCACTCCATGCCCATCAGCGTCTTCAAGGTCAAGTTGAAGTAGACGTCCTTGAAGTCTTTCTGGATGACGTCCCCGTACTGCTGGCTCTCCCGGGCCACCGCGGCCATCTGCTCCGGGCTGGCCGTGGCCCCCAGGAGGAAGAAGGCCCTCACCTGCCTCCCCCTCACCGTCATCTCCCTACCCCACGTCTTCCGGATGGCCATGCGCGCGGCCACCTGCCGGTGCGAGGAGGTGACCAACAGGACCAGGAACGGGGGATTGCGGCTGCAGTCGATGGCCGGCAGCTGAAGGAACTTCCCGTGTTTCTTCTTGAAGATGAACGGCTCCTCTGGAAATGGAGTCATGCTGAAATACACACAGAGCGCGCCCACCACCAAAAGGCACGCGTACACCAGCCTCAACTTCAGAAAAGCCATCTGAAAGAAGACACGTGGGCGGTTAGACCAAGAGGGCGGGAGACTGGGGGCAAACTCCGGGGTGGTGGGAGGGCGAAGTCCTGAATCGCCGCCCCTCTGCCCACCGGAGGCGAGGAACAAACTGTCACTCGGAACCTCCAAAACAGGTGCCATTCCAATAAAACCAAGCTGGAGGCACGGCTCAGGGGGGAGGGAGCTGCCTTGCAAGAGTAAAGCCTTGAGTTCAGACATCAGTACGGCCAAGAAACGGACAGATGTACATATATACATACATATACAGATGCTAGAGAGACAGACGATAGATAGATAATAGAGAGAGATGAATGGTAGATGATAGATAAATAAATGATAGATAGACAGACAGATAGATATGGACGGATGATAGAGAGTGCCCTGGCACTCTCTATCATCCGTCCATATCTATCTGTCTGTCTCACTCCTGTAATACTACCTACCCGGGGCTGAGATCTGAGAATCTCCGTTTGAAACCGGCCTACACAGATGGGAGTCCCAGATTCCTTGTTCATAAGTACCTGGGACCAAATCTTTCAACAGGTCCTCCATCTCTGCCCTTTAATAAAAGGCGGTCAGATCGCCGGCAGGACTAGAGGCCATTCTTGGTAGGATAAAACACAGGAAGTATTTGCAGTCTTCCGTGATCTAATTAAGCACTGCCAAAAGAAGCAAGTCCAGTTCTCTGTTTCGCACAGCAGTCTGGAGGTTGCAAAGGCTGATGTGATGTGTCTACGTGACCTTTTCAAATCCCCTCTGCTGTATGTTCTTCTTCTGTCCACCACTTGCTACTATCCCCAGCAAGTAAAGGATGAGTGTCAGATGATGTTAGTGTTCTAGCAATAAGGAAGCCGATTGATTACTCACGTTCAGCTGGAGAGGAGACACGTGGTTTGGCTGCTCAGCCTCAGGCTAGTTCCAGGAGGAAAAGTGCTTGGAAGAGCCGCTGGCATCCGAGAACCCGAGCTGCGTTCTGTTACATTCCGGCCTGGGTCTGTTTATGGAGGAACGGCCGCTCTGTCTCTCAGGCATCACTGGAAGAATGAAAAGGGATGGGATTCAAGTCACCCGAGCCTCACTGTGAGCAGCACCACGCTGCCACCTCCCCATGTGTCCCTCAGCAAGCCCTGGAGCCTGACTCCCGGCATTTCCCTCTCAATAACGCAGGGAGCACAAGGAGACGAGGCCCGGCACGTGACTAGTCTGTCCGCAACAAGTGCGGTGTGCAAACATCTACAAATCTTTGGCAGGTGAAATCGGTCCCTGAGGGCTTCCTAAGGAGACAAGAGAAACCCTCAGCACACTTCCAGTTCCATTTCTTGCCCTGCTAATTTACCTACATCACAGATCGTGTGGCCAATGCCTCAAGAATTTAACACAGGTTCAGGCAGGCGCCCGTGGTCCATGCCTGCAATGTTAGCTACTTCGGGAGTAAGGAATGGGAGGACTGAGATTTGAGGCCAGCACAGGCCGAAAGTCAAGAAGACCTCAATAAACCAGCCCAGCCCAGGGGAGACACATGTAGATGGCAGATGGGCCAATCCAGCCTGGTGGGGGCAGGCGGGGGGAGGGGGTATGGAGGAAATGCCAGAACCTAGCTGAAAAATCACAAAAAGCAGAAAGGGCTGGGGGCATGGTTCACGTGGTAGATGCCTTGAGTTTCAACCTAAGAACCATCAAAATGCAACAATAACTCAATGCAGAGGAAAGCATTTCCCAACTCAAACGGCATGAATTTAAATCACACACAGACGTTTTCTGGGGTAAACGGACAAAGGGTACAAAAGGAAAGAAAGTGATGGCGTGGAATGGCAGAGTTATTTTGAATGCTCAGCTGTTCCTCAATGCTGGGAGTGACGCTTACTCCTACAGTCTCAGCACTTGGGAGGCTGATGGAGAAGGATCCCCAGTTCCAGCCAGCCTGGGCTAGTGAGCCAGGTCCTGTCTTGCACAGCGGCCGCGTGAGCGCCCCTCACCAAGCCCGCGGCGCCCAGGGCCAGCATCAGAGCCCTCACTGTGGAAGGACCTGTCTGCCCCCAAGATTCTGGGGGTGCTGCTCTTCCTTCTCTGTATGCATCTGTACCTGCCTGGCTCTGGGGATGCCGGGCTGGGCCGCATGCTCCCCACCGTACATTTCCCCAGGTGAGGGAAGAGCGCCACTCTCTCACGTGACTTCCTTCCTTGGCTAATCTCCCTCTTTTTCCACGGGCCCCATTGCCCCTCGGCTCTGACGCCTCGCTCTCTCCCCTGCGGCTCTCCCGAGGCTCCACAGCGCCACCAGGATGGACGCCAGACGGCATCTGAGGCAGAGCCGACACCAAGCCCGATGCCGAAGCTCCCCGCAGCCCTCCATGCCTCCCATGGCGTGCATGCTTCTGCCTGAAGTTGCACTGGCCAAATATACCCCCAAAGCTACCGGGGGCTGCAGTCCTGGAGCCTGTGCATGTTTGCGCTGGAGCTCATGCGTGTTTGTGCTGGAGCTCATGCGTGTTTATGCTGGAGCTCGTGCATGTTTGTGCTGGAGCTCATTCATGTTTGTGCTGGAGCTCATGCGTATTTGTGCTGGAGCTCATGCACGTTTGTTTGTGCTGGAGCTCATGCGTGTTTGTGCTGGAGCTCATGCACGTTTGTGCTGGAGCTCATGCGTGTTTGCACTGGAGATCGTGCGTGTTTGCGCTGGAGCTCGTGCATGTTTGCGCTGGAGATCATGTGTGTTTGCGCTGGAGCTCATGCGTGTTTATGCTGGAGCTCGTGCATGTTTGTTTGCGCTGGAGCTCATGCATGTTTGTGCTGGAGCTCATGTGTGTTTGCGCTGGAGCTCGTGCACGTTTGTTTGTGCTGGAGCTCATGCATGTTTGCACTGGAGATCGTGCGTGTTTGTGCTGGAGCTCATGCACGTTTGTGCTGGAGCTCATGCATGTTTGCACTGGAGATCGTGCGTGTTTGCACTAGAGATCATGTGTGTTTGCGCTAGAGCTCATGCATGTTTGTGCTGGAGCTCATGTGTGTTTGCGCTGGAGCTCGTGCACGTTTGTTTGTGCTGGAGCTCATGCATGTTTGTGCTGGAGCTCATGCGTGTTTGTGCTGGAGCTCATGCACATTTGTGCTGGAGCTCATGCATGTTTGCACTGGAGATCGTGCGTGTTTGCACTAGAGATCGTGTGTGTTTGCGCTGGAGCTCGTGCATGTTTGCGCTGGAGCTCATGCGTGTTTGTACTGGAGCTCATGCGTGTTTGTGCTGGAGCTCATGCATGTTTGTGCTGGAGCTCATGCGTGTTTGCACTGGAGATCGTGCGTGTTTGCGCTGGAGCTCATGCGTGTTTGCGCTGGAGCTCGTGCGTGTTTGCACTGGAGCTCATGCATGTTTGTGCTGGAGCTCATGCGTGTTTGCGCTGGAGCTCATGTGTTTGCGCTGGAGCTCATGTGTGTTTGTGCTGGAGCTCATGCGTGTTTGCGCTGGAGCTCATGAATGTTTGCGCTGGAGCTCGTGCACGTTTTTTTGCACTGGAGCTCGTGCATGTTTTTTTGCACTGGAGCTCGTGTATGTTTTTTGCGCTGGAGCTTGTGCACATTTGCGCTGGAGCTCATGTGTGTTTGCCCTGGAGTTCGTGCATGTTTGTGCTGGAGCTCATGTGTGTTTGCGCTGGAGCTCATGAATGTTTGCGCTGGAGCTCGTGCATGTTTGTTTGTGCTGGAGCTCATGCGTGTTTGCGCTGGAGCTCATGTTTGCGCTGGAGCTCATGCATGTTTGTTTGTGCTGGAGCTCATGCGTGTTTGCGCTGGAGCTCATGAATGTTTGCGCTGGAGCTCATGCATGTTTATGCTGGAGCTCATGCACGTTTGTTTGCGCTGGAGCTCTTGCATGTTTGCGCCAGTACCTTGCACCAAATGGAGGGGAATTTGACAAAGCACCTAGCGAGGGAGGAGGCAGAGCCCAGGACAGTGTGTTTCTGGAGAGATCGCTGTGTACCCCAGGCCCGTGGCCCCAGGCTGGCCAGCAAGCAGGAGCCCTTAGCACAAAGTGACCCCACTCACCCAATACAAACCACCCCCGGAACCCCCTTGGCTCCAGAAGTCCCTCCTCTAAACATACAGTGGCCAGCCAGTCAGAAAGAGGAATCTAGAAGTGGCCTGTGCATTCTAGGCTCTGCTCTGTGGCCCAGGAGCCACACAGACCCGGATACCAAGGGTCAGAACTGGAGAGACTCGAGTGATACCCGAAGTGCCTGCGCCCCTTGTACCCCAGCTCCTCCGCGTGACCCACGCTGCCTCCTCTGGTGACAGACCAGGCGGCATGTTAGGACACCACGCAGAGGGTGAATCAACAGGAAACAAGTAAAACACATGAAGTGGGAGCCATCGGGGCTGGGAGAGCTTACCTGAAACGTATCTGAAATCAACCTGCCATGCTAACTCCCTGACAAGTAAGTAGAGGCAAAGTCCTAGATTCTTCGCCTGGCCCAGGCGGGAAGACTTAGCCTGAAGACTGACCCAGGGTTACAGACCACAGAGACAGAAGGATCACAAGCCCATGTTCCCAAGGACTGAGACTCTGAAGGGGCAGTCTGGAAGTTACACTGGAGATGGCTGAGGGAAGGGGAAGATCGTCAGACCTAAATGGAAAGAGATCCAGGGTGAAGTCACACCATGAGGCCAAGAGACCCTCAGGGCCACTGTGAGGAGCGCCGGAGCCTGGGCCAGCCACGCGGGGGCCGGGGGGAACAAGGGTGGTAGAATGGGTAGAGGGGGTGAGGACACGGGTGGTAGAATGGGTAGAGCAGGGGG